ACTTGTTACACAAATATGAAATAAATGATTTTCTTTATAGTAAATGAATTTACATTAAATTAAAGGCTCCATTGGTTATTTTTCTAATTTTTACCAATTTTCAGTTTTCCTATTTGTTATTAGTGTGATATTCTTACTGGGCTAGTGTAACTCACCATTTCATTAACTATTTCAGATCAAGAGAACTAAGATCCAGATCCAGATCCCAATCAACAAGAGAGTTGTAAATAGTTCACCACACGGATTCCCTTCAAAAGTTAGTGAAGGTTGTCATAGGATGCTTAGTGATTTATTTTTTGTTTATTTTTTTAATTTTTGTTTGTTCTTTTAGAATAAACATTCTCGTAACTCTATTGAGCATTCTGTACTATTTGTAAGAAATGTAAACCATAACTCTATTATTTTACTTTCGCATTTAATTTATAATTTTATTTTCATTTAAGTTCCAGGTCTTTACAGTTTATATCAAAGCCACATTCCTCGTAACCATTCCTTACACAAAGACCTAACGAAATATTAAAAAAAATAAATTATCACTCAACCATTGCTTATGAAATTAATAAGTTTCGAGCTTTTACATAACCAGAAGCTTTCATTGCTGTAGAAAACCTTCCAAACCATACTCTTGGTGACTGCTTAAGCCCATACAACGACTTCTTAATTTACATATTTTATTTTTGCTTAAAAAATTTTCTATAAATCCTAGTGGTAGTCCCATATAAACTTCTTCTAAGTTTTCATTAAGGAATACGTTCTTAACATCAAATTGTTGCAAAGACCAGTCTCGATTTGCTGCTATAGACAATAGAATACAAATTGTATTCAATTTAGCTATTGGTGCAAACGTATGTTAGTAATCTACCCAATATTTCTGTGTATACCCCTTTGCAATTAGTCTCACCTTATATCGATCGATACTTCCGTCTGCTTTAAGTTTCACTGTTTATACTCATGTACACCCAATAGTATTTTTTTCGTTAGGTAATGGAACTAGTTCCCTTGTGGAATTTTTCTGCAAAGCCTCCATCTCCTCGTTCATTGCCTTTTTCCACTTTGAATCCTGTAATGCATCTTACACACTATTAGGAATAAAAACTTTAAATAATTAATTAATAGTAAGTGCATATGACTCAGACAACTTATGAGTAGAGAAATAATTGTTAATAGCATATTTAACTTTGGCTTTAGGATCAGGTTCATATTGCTTCTTTGGAACACCTTTATTAGATCTTTGTGGATATCTAAGAGTCATAAATTCAGAAAAAATATTTATTTCATTAGATATAGGATTTGGAATTACATGAGGTAAAGTATTCTGGATATTCTAAGTCGATTCTTCGATTAATGGTGTTATCAAAGACAAATCTATAACTACTGGCAATTTTGACATATTTTCAAAAAGAACCATCAATTCATTATCATTCCCTGCCAAATTTTCTTGAGTACTTCTCCCAATATTTTCATGCATCTTTTCCACCTCAAGGAAAACATCTTCATCTTTTTTACTGTTATTTTTTTGTAATACATTTTCTTCATCAGATTTCTCCCCCTGAAGAGAAGGTGCATGAACTCCCCCTGAGTAATGAGGTTCTACGTCGTGAAAAGAAACATCCAAGGTCACATGTAATTTCTGAGTTTGAGGGTCATAACACCAATATTCTTTCTAAAAATCAGAATAACCAACAAAAACACATATTTTTACATACAGATCAAGTTTATTTATGAGATTCTTATGAATGTGAACATTGACAGTATATCCCAAAACTCTTGATTCAAGATTTAGACATGTGAAATGGAGAAAACTAATTTCATCTTTATTGTAGTGTTTGAAATTTATACTCTGGAAGTGTCCATGATT